AGATATGGGTCTAGTTTTAATCTTTGACAGGTTGAAATCCAGTTTTTCTGACACCGTTTATTAAATAGGCTATCATTCCTCCTGTGAGGGTGGTTGGGTCCTTTGTCAAAGATGAGGTGGCTGAGTATGTCTGGAGTTGTTTGTGCATCTTCTAATCTATTCTACTGATCCTCTGGTCTGTTTCTTTGCCAGTACCATGCTGTTTTTATCAGAGTGGCTTTGAAGTATAGTTTCAAAGTTGGGGATTGTGATACCCCTTTCTATGTCTGTTGCCTAGAATGGCTTTTGCTATTCTAGGTCTCTTCTAGTTCCAATTGAATTTGTGGATTGTTTTCTGTAGTTCTCTGAAATATATTGTTGGAATTTCAATTGGCATTGCATTAAATCTATATGGCAGTTTTGGAAGTATGGCCATTTTCACTATATTGGTTCCTCCTACCCAGAAACAAGGAATGTCTTTCCATTTTCTTATATCCTCTTTGATCTCTTTTTTCAGAGTGCTCTAGTTTTCAATGTAGAGATCTTTTGCTTCCTTTGTTAGACTGATTTCTAGATATTTAAGTTTTTGGATGCTATTATGAAAGGAATTGCTTCCCTAATTTCTCAATGAATCTGTTGTTTGTGTACAAGAAGGCTATTGTTTTCTGAGTCTTGACCTTGAATCCAGCTACTCTACTGAATCTGTCAATTAAATCTAGAAGTCTTTTGGCCGAATTTTTTGGGTCTTCTATGTAAAGTATCGTATTGTCAGCAAATAATGACAGTTTAACTTCTTCCTTTCCTATCTTTATTTCTTTTATTTCTTTCTCTTTTCTAATTGCTGTGGCTAATGTTTCCAGAACTGTATTGAACAGGAGTGGTGATAGTTGGCATCCTTGTCTTGTTCCTGATTTTAACGGGAAAGTTTTCAGTTTTTGACCATTTATTATGGTGTTGGCTGTTGGTTTTTCATAAATAGCCTTAATCAGGTTGAGATAAAGACCTTCTATTCCAATTTTCTATAGGGTTTTTATCATGAATGGGTGTTGGATTTTGTCAAATGCTTTTTCTGCATCTATTGAGA